TAAATCCAACTTTAATTTTTTCCATAATGAAACAAAGTTTTATGAAATTGCAAATACAATTTTCAAAGTGTAGTTTTAAGCAAAAATAAACTGCAAATTTTTAAATAATGTTTGCTTTAAATTTTTCTATTTTAGTTAAACATCGTTTAAATTTTTTATTTTTCCCGTCGTTCAAAAAGAAAGTTGTTTCTCACTCAGCCGACATCGCACGTTCGTAAAATTAATTATCCCAGGCGAGCACCACCCTGCATTAAAATTTCGTCCCTTGCACGGTCGTCGTAAAACAAAACGTTAAAATATGCCTCGACTCAATTAAACATACGAAATCTGTCAAGGATTTCCTTTTCGCATCTTAATAACTCCTTTCAGGCGCGAACAAAAATCCCTCTTCTACACAGCTAATAAGTCTCGTGTGAACGTAATACATAGCAATAACGTCAAGCTTTAATCCTAAAAGTCCATCTTTGTTCACTTACCATCGTCAAAACCCGGCGTTCCAAGCTTTGATCTTAAAATAAACCGGAGCGGTTCCGGGTAAAACGCCGGGGTTATGCCAATAGTACCTCAACTGTTCAAAAATTAGAGTTGGGTTCAATTAAAGTAGATTATTACTTGCTAAGTAAAAATTAATTTGGAAATTTCAATTTACTCTAAATTGGAAAAGCTTTGTTTGTGAAAGAGCTTTGATCTTAAAATAAACAGAGCGCTCTGGAAAATTGTTTATAAAAAGATAAGTTACATTTAATTGTAATTGTCGACAATGTAGACACAAACCAAACCAGACCTACACGAACAACAAATCAAATTTTCTCCTGACTATGATCAAGGTTTTGCTGATGCATTCATTACTCAATTTCCGGCTATTTCTACTTTATAAAAATCAACTAAAGTAGCTTTTAAAAAAAATTACGTTTGCATTAACGCCGCTAGACAATAAAAATGATTACATTATGCAAACAAACGCAACTGGAAAAAAATCCAACATCAAACGATTCCGAAATAAAGCCTTGGCAGAGCACATTTCGTGTGCTCTTTTTACAATTTGCAACTTTTATTTTGTCCCGAATCGAATAAAAAGTTGAAATTTTTGTTATTGCGGAACATTGGAATAAAAACAAGGTTTTGTCTTGGGCCATTCATCAAACTCACTGTCGAATCAGAAAAAAAAACGAGGGGGTGTTTCTTGACGACCCTCGGATAAATCACACGCAAGAACTTCCTGCAATCTCTGGAACACTATAACGTGATTAATTCTAGCAGATGAAATGTTAACTCGACTGTTAAACTATAATCTTACATGGCTCCCAGCTACTTTCCCGATTAAAGTCGAGAAATCTGACGTAAAATTCGAGACTTAATACCGATTTCTTTTCAACAAGAATCCAATTTTTCTTAATTTTTTACAATAATTAGAAATTTTACTTGGTGTTCCGGTGTAAATTATTGAAATAATTTGTTTGCAATTGAATTCGAGTTTATCCTTCAGTCGTTTTTACGTCTGACTGAATTTTGAAACTGAATCTGCTTATGGACCATAATTTATTTATAGTAGGCATTATTACCATTACGGTGCGCATTGGCGAAAGGTAATTATTTAGATTAAATATAAACTGGCTTCATCAAGTTAATGAATAAACATTTCAATTTTCTTTTATTAGAAAATTCTTGCCGCACTTGAATCTACAAATTAAACTTTTATTACAGTACTGATGACTCGTTCCTTAAATTGCACTTATTACTTAATTATGACAAAATTAAGTTCCAAGTGTGAGCAAAAACTATTGTTTCTTAATTAAAAATTAAAATTAAATACAAATTAAAAAAGTATGTAAAATAGTAAAAAAATAATGAAAAAAAAATTCTTGTATTTTTGGTTTCACTTTTTTATGTCAACTGTTAATTTATTATACTATTCTTATGTGTAAGTCTTGTCAAAAAACTAATTGTGTCATTTTTTTATCACTACTTTAATAATAAACATATATTTTCGTGTATTAATGTAGGTTTTTATAAGAAATTTATCACCCCATTTAAATTCAAAAAATAAACAATATTACAAAAACACTCTACCACCTATTAATAACAATACCTTTTTAAAAATAAGCCAAAAACTTGTTTGTTTAAAAATGGTGGATGCGCCGGGATAAGTTTCCTAAATTTTTAAAAATGTAAATTAAGTTTTAAATAAAAAATGCACACTGTTTCAATAAATGTTAATAAATCGCTTATTTATGTATTTTTTAATAAATTATTTCTAATAGAGCTAGTTTATATTTTATGTATTACCTAAACTTCAGACGGTTTATACGTGGTCTAAATAACCTCGTTTAAGTGCAAGCTACTCGACATATACACAAAAATCAATACTAAAACTAATATTTTTAATTGGAACTAGAAGAAAACACCTACAACAAGTTTTATCGTAACATTATTGTGGTCATTTTGAAAGTAACAATGAAAATAAGAGCATAATTTACTAAAATATAGAGCATTAATAAAATTAGATTGTGTTTGTGATGCAGAAAATGTGCTGCAAACATTTTTAATAAAGTTCTTTTACTACGTTGTTTAGTCCTAGAACGAAAAAAATGTTTTTAACAAGTCTGCTAAGTGTAAAGTATAAATAGCTTTATCAAATATAAAATTTTAGCCCTTGTTAAGTTTTCTAATCTGTATATTTTTGCCAAAAGTTTGCGGTTTAACTAATGGATGAATATTTGGTTGCAAGCAGCCTCTGGCGTTTCTCAACTTTACCAAAGTTGCGTTCTACTTCAGACCCGAGTTCATCTTTGTACATTTTTCTCCCGTCTAATGTTTCGATTGCAACGAGGCGTCCGATATAAATTTTTGAGTATATGATGCCGCAAAAGCCTCTGAATTTATATCGGTAATAAAACGTAACGGCTACGTTGTCTTACGATACAATCGCATAAAAAATTTAATCGATAAAGACCTTAATGGCGTCTTCCTATTGATTAGCTGCAAATTCTTCTCCTTCTTTCAGCAACAAATCAGAATATTTGTTTGATTGAGAGAGGGAGAGAAGTGGTCAGTGATGTATTACTGCACGAAACAAAAAGATAATTATACGAGACCTCGACCGATTAGACAGTTAATCACTCACCTGTTGCATAAATAACACCTGCGAAATGTCCATTTACTAAATTGAATTTTCGAAAAACCGCATGCATGTGAATGGTTCATGTTTCATATTTATGAAACAAACAAGCGGAAATCGCTTCGTGGTGCTCGAATGGGGGATTTTGGATGAAGTGCAGGACAGGTCAGCAATTTTACAACCGGTTGCGAAACCAAATTTATATTTATTGAATTTAGTTTGTATTCGCGCAATGGCCAAATAAATAAAAAATTGTAGCCCAGATCAATTTGTTTAAATAATTTTCCGATTTCTTTTAGCGTCTTGTCGAGAAATAGTAACGAAATTCAATTTCTTCTCTCCATATTCGAACTTTCGTCCTCGCAGCTTCAATCTCTTCCAACCTATTTACTAATTATCTTTATTAACGTTCCGCCGCAAGTTTATTGCTTATAAAGATGGCCGAACAAATATTTGAGGCGTTGATTCGTAACATCGTCAATAAATCATCAAAATGTATCAATCAAAAGTTGACGAAATTCTAATCAAGTCATAAAAATAGTTCTATTAATTTCAATAACAATAAAAAACTTTTTGTTTTCGTGTTACGTCGGCATTTTTGCCCAAGTGTCTATTCAAGTAAAAAAAGATTGGATCAAAAAGGTTCAAAGAAAAAAATGCTTACTTTTATTGCTTCAGTTTCAGGAGAGTATTTATTCATTAAATTAAGGATCTGGTCGTATTTTTTTTAAAAGAGCCTGAAGTTTGTCTGTTCATTTTTCATGTTGTTTT